GGAGTTTCCACTTTACAACAGCATCGGGGAATCTATTAACGCTACTGGTGGTGATAAAAACGATCTTCCTTTAAATGGTCAGAAGCTTCCGAGCTATGCTATCTTTGAATAATATTCTGTTCCCTCTGTTGCTTCCTCAAATGAGTTCCCATAAGTAATTAATATTTGGTAGTCCTCTGTTATAACAGGAATGCTGCTGCATTAAAACTCAGGCATTTGTATTTGAACTTGTAATTTAACAGTCAGTATCTATGCTTGAATTGTGAGTGTAACTGTGTGATAGAAACCAGGAGTCTTTGTGGGTAAGGCCACATTTTCTCCATATAAGTTTGAACCCAACCATGAATCCATTGAAACTCAAGGCTATTTCTCCAGACAGCCTGGCTTATGAGGATGTCCACAGAGCCCTATCAAGGCTGCTTTCCAATATCCTATGCAACCTGACAATGGACCTGTGATCCAATCTGGACCAGAGAAGGTATACATGATAAAAAAATGAACATTGTCTTAACCAGCCAATCATTTCACTTGTTTTGAATGTTTAGTTTGCACAATGTAGAATCACCTGGTAAGAGAGTCTTTGTTGGGGAATTGTCTAGATGAAGTTTACCTGTGAGCATGTTGATAGAGAAATATATAGATTGCCTTAATTGACATGGAAGCCTTAGCTCACTGTAGTAAGCACCTTTCCATAGAATTGGGGTCCTAGACTAGATTGGAGGAGAAAGCTGAGAACTAACAAGCATTCAGCATGAGTGCATCTCTTTTGTCTCTGTAACTCACTGTGGGTGTGATGTCTCAAGCTCCTGCTACTGTTACTTCCTCACATTGATGCACTGAAACCTGAAATTGTGAGCTAAAATTCTTCTCCCCTAAGTTGCTTTTTGTGTGGGTATTTTATCATTGTGACTGAAATTCAACAAAAATATCAGTTGTTGGCCAGCTGACCAATAAATCTCTTACAGTATACCTTAGTGTGTGCAAGGAATTAGCAGTCTTTTCTTCCTCAAACATAAAATAAAACTCTATTATTATGAATTTGACTATAAAAACAATTTATACTCCTTTGTTCGGAACTTGAGATCTTATTTCATGTTCTACAAACAATCATTAAATATTCTTTTTTTTCTTCATTCACTTCCTTCATGAATATCGTCTTATATCCATGTTGGCCAAATTTTAACTTGCCTTTTAAAAGCAATTTACTAACCTTCTCAGGTCACATAGCAATTCATGCTTATTTTAAGATGATGCTAAAACAATTTAACAAATTACAACATCGCAGCCTTTAATAAGAAGTGTTTGTATAATACAATGTATATTTATATGAATATTAAAATATTTTATTCAATAAAAATTCTCATCAAGAAAATACAACCATTTGAATGCATTAAATATAATTAGTGACATTTCAAAAGCTATCTGCAGGACTTTAACAGGAATTTGTAGTATATTAGAAACCAGTATGGTACAACATCAAGTTACATAATTTTTAATATGAGCGTTAAAAAATAAAAACATAGAAAGGGTGAGGAAATTGAATTTTCATGATTTAGAAATGAAAAGAACTGTAAGCTATTATTTCCGATGGAAGGAGAAGAAGCTTTTAAATGTATAAAGGTTTCTTTTGGCAAAACCACTTTCCAAGTGACAGAAAATTCAATCACACATACAAGTGAATTACTAAGGTGCTCTAGAACATTCCAGAGATGAAAACAGAAACAAGAAAATAAAATTCAGATTTACCTGGAAAGAATAAATATGCTGTGTTTTGAGGACTGGAAAGGTTTTCCTCGGGATTAAAATATGATGGAATCACACAAATGTATATTTATATTAAATTTTTTCTATATACAGGGTTTGTATTAATGTAGTAGATAAATTGAAAAGTTTAGTTGATGTGGGAATTCAGCATCTATGCAGTTTATAAAGGTAGTACTTTAGAATACTGCCAGTCAGTAAGCACACAATTCCATTGTATCCTATGCCTAAGTTCTTCAAGAAGCATAAAGGTACAAGGGTAATTTTACATCTTTAAGAGACAGCAAATTGTTATGTTTTAGCTCTGCAATATTTATATTTTATTAGCAAAATACAATCAAAATGTTGCCATGTTTAAATAAACATTAGATCTTTAAAGTAAAAGGTAATCAAAACTATTATTTAAAAAATTAACTCTAGGGTTGCAAGATTGCTCAGAAGGTAAAGGTGATTGCCTAAGGATATCAACTCGATCCTTAGGACCCACATGTTTGAAGTGGAGATGGACTCTGACTTCACATGCAGGTTATGATAAACTCATGCTCATACACGTACATGTATAGATAGGTAAACAAATATAATAGCAATCATTTAAAATTAATCCTATATGGTGAATTTACATTCAACATTGAATATAAAGTAAAGAAAAATGTGTACGTGTAATGAATTCATAGGAGCTTATAAAACACAGAACAAATAAACTAAATTATGAAATTAATGACCATGACATGGACTTGGAACCACAGACTTTTTCAGAAAGTATCCATTGTATAGAGCAATCTTCCAAAAATGGTAAAGTCTCATGCCTTGAAACTACATGTGTGATATAAAATGGAAAAATGGGGTTAGGTTAGCAGATGCAATTAAATTTCCTAGTCAGCTTAATTAAAAGTTGGGCAACTATCCTGAATTTTTAGGCTGTCCTAGTATGATGTGTCAATATGCAGGGGTTAGGCAGAAGAATCAAAGTGATTGAGCAAAGTATTGAACATCCCTCTGTTATAGAGAAGTAGAGGCCCACCATCCTTAATGAACTCAAACCAGAAGAAACTGTATTCATTCTTCTCCAGAGTCATTTGTAGTAACAAAGCTTATCAACACCCTGATAACATGCAGAGAGACCCTTTTTAGACTTCTTGCCTCCAGAACAATAAGGTGACATATTTGTGTTCTTCCCAGCCATAGCATAAATAGACAACTAGTAGACATACTGTCTAAAAATGGGTCAAGCCTGCTATGGCTAATGATGACCCAGACCTGTGAGCCCAAATACTATAGTAGCTTGGGTATCTGCCTTTGCCCACATGCCATAGAGCTCCCAAAGGAAAATCATGAGCAAGTAGTCAGCTTTCCCAGATAAACACACATGAGGGCCTAGAAACACTATTAGCAATGTAAACACTATTAGCAACCTAGAAACACTATTAGCAATCTAAATGGCTGTTGTCTTTTTAAAAGAAAATAAAATTATATTTGAAAATTCTCTCTTATGGAAGACTGGTGAAAATGTAACACCTATAAGCCAGACAGTATATCCTTGTCAGACTCTGTAATTACTAGAAATATAGGTTTGGACCTCCCAGCCACTGGAACCAATAAGGTTGTATTCATTATAAAATATCCAAGTGCACTAGAACAGGTCTATGGAGTTCAAATGTACCAGGACAGGTCTAGGTAACCACTCTTTTTTCAAGACAACAGAAGGAATATTTTAATTGCAAGAAAATAGTTGAGTTGCATGAGCTAAGAAATCATTAAATAAAAAAGAACTGTTTGCCTGATAGAAGAAATGAACCATTTGTAAAGGTCATATGTATTTCATGTGGCTGATCACTGCCTATAGTGTTCTCAGCAGATGAAATTCTTCATACAGTCTGTATATGTTGCACTGGCAATGTCATGTAATGACAATTTTGACACTTTGGTTTCTAATACAGGGTGTTTCCAAAACCCATCTCCACCCAATCTAAAAGAGGGGGCTTCTGCCCAAGACCAAGCAGAGAGGGGCCACCCAGGACCCCCTCTGTCAGGCGATCTGAATTCTTGCTTAGGCTGCGAGGCTAAGCACTGCAAGGGAATATAAATAAATGATAAAAATATCTATCTGGGTTCCCTGAGGGACAAGCCTGACTGCATAGGGGTTGATGTCAAAAGTATCCCCTCTCCAGGAAAAAGACATCGGGACGGGTATGGCCCTCATGCCTCACTGGACAACGACAGGGGGACTGGAGCCATTACAAGGTCCCCTTCAAATACTGGAGGTCAGGCCTCTATCCCCGCCTTCTCAAGTTTAGAATTGCCACAGCCCTTCTATACTTAGAGAAGGGAGGAGATGTCAGGGGCAGCCCTGCTTACCCACTGAAGGCCTAAAATCAGCCATAGGCCTAAAATCAGCAATAGGCCTGTCATACATGTATACTAACACCAAGTCTTGGGTCTCAGTGGAAAAACATCATAACAGAGGGCTATAAGCTAATGTAAACAGGCAGCTTTTGTGGAAATTTACAAGCCTGAGTAGTCATAGACCTTGTAAATAGGTAGCCTGGGCAGACAATACCAACTTAGATAAGGACAAGCGAGTCATAGGCAGAGTCATAGTGACTTGTCCCCTGAACCTTCACCCAGCCGATACCCGTTTCTGATGATATCTGTATTCCTCCTGATCACCCACACTCCAGTGTCATTCCCTTTCCCACATCCTGCCTTTCTGTGTTTATAACCCCTGTGTGAATGAATTACGATTTGAGAAAAAATAAATTATTAAAAAAACATAAAAAAACACAGAAAGAAGGAGAGAGGGAGAGGGAGAGGGAGAGGGAGAGGGAGAGGGAGAGGGAGAGGGATCCTACAGCACTGAGATGGAACTGGGAACCTGTTGATATTGAGAAAAGGGTTTGAAGTTAAAGGCTTAGTCTTGGAATATGAGCTGTCTTATTTCTGAGATGTAATCTATTGAAATATTCACTGGCCCTCAATTTGACAAAGCATATGATATACATTAACTATTCTTAAGTATTCTTAAGCTACTAAAAACAAAACACTAAACTTCAAGTATATCTAACTGTACATGCAATTTTTCTATAGTAAAACCCAAACACAGTATGGTAGGCTCCCAAGTTATTGAATACATGTAGTTAAATGTGTTTTTTTGGGCATGGGTATTCTTAGTTGCTGGGAGAAAAAAAACCTAAAACTAGAACCATATAATGAGTTTTGTAGTGATTAAGTGGTTCACTCACATCTGAATTAAATCTCAACTGGCAAATGTTGCATGAGATGATTTGCTTTTTCCGATGAGGAAGAGGAACCCCGAATGTATGGTTTATTACAGCTTTCTGAATAGGGTCCATCTGTAAGAATAAAAAAAAAAAAACAGAGAGATAAAGCTTGTCAGTTTCACTGAACGCTCCATATTTCATTAAGTCTGCACAACTATTGCTTATGTTTGTTGCTTTTAAACAATACATTTACTCTATGAAAAGGCATTTCTTCTTTCTTTGAATATAGATAGCAATAAACCCAAAGATGATAAGAAGATGATAAATGTTTTCATAGTGTCTGTAAACTTAGTGGTTTTTCCCAATTAGGACAAACCCTTATTACAGTTTGATAATATTCATGTATAATTAAAGGTTTATGGTAAATCAAATTCTTACTAGTGTGGGCAGCCTAACATTGAAATGGGTTTATATCATTCTTAGAACCTGGACTTCCAACCACCTGATCAACAATCAAAATTAACTATGCAACATTACTCAATTTTATCCTATATTTAGTGTCAATTAGACTTGAAAAGTACAGCATTCAAATACCTAATGTCAATCTTCTATGGATGCCTATGAGTGAAATCAAACAGTCTAGGTAAAATTTCAGCTATCTCCATCCCATTTATATAAGGATCAACACTAAGCTTAATGTCACAAGTTCTGTTAAGTGTAATATCCCTTCACGAAGCACTGTCCTAGTTGGAATGAGGTTTAACAATGATGACTCAAAAAATTATTGAACATCATTCTGTTCATAGTTATAAACAGTGACATTGAAAAGTATGTGAAAGGAGAAAGCTATCATGAACCTCATACTTTGATAAAAAATGTTGGTATTATATTGGACTTTAATTTTTTCAATGTTATGTACATGTGCACACACAGATAACACAGGTGGGCCTTAAACTTAATATGTCTCAGACTAATCTCAAACACATAATCCATTAAATTAGCTTTCTTCATGATGGGGCTGTAGATGTGCAACACCACATTTAGCTAGAAACATCTGACACATATTCTTAGACATAGCTAAATACATAATGGTGGCTTGAGATAGCTTTAAAATGATTTGGCACAGTGAAGAATATGTCTAAAAAATGGTTCCGGGCTGGGGCAGACAAGTAACCAGTCTGCTCACATGAAGACACCATATCCTGAACCTTCCTAGGTAGAAGAGCAGCTGAGCAGTGATGGAACCACTGTACTCCGAGAAACTGAGGAACTACTGTACTCAGAGCAGCAGGGTTACAGGATCCAAGAGGAAGCCTAAGTCCCAGGAGCTCTTCCACCAAGGAGTTTAGGATCACAGGATCACAGAGATATCTGGACTCTGAGGAGTTCTGACATAAGCAAGATAACTGGAAAGACACTCTCCAGCCAGAGACAGTGAGTGCAGGTAGCACTACAGTTAACCAGATGGCAAAAGGCAAGCACAAGAATATAACAACAGAAACTGAAGTTATCTGGCATTATCAAAACCCAGTTCTCTTACCATAGCAAGTCCTGGACACCTCATCAGACTGGGAAAGCAGGACTCAGATTTAAAATCACTTCTCATGAGGATGATAGAGGACTTTAAGAGGAACATAAACAACTCCCTTAAAGAAGTACAGGAGAACACAGGTAAACAGGTAGAAGCCCTTAAAGAGGAAAGATAAAAATCCCTTAAAGAATTGTAAGAAAACACAACAAAACAGGTAAAGGAATTAAACAAAACCATCCAAGATCTAAAAATGGAAGTAGAAATGACAAAGAAATCTCAAAGGGAGACTGCCCTGGAGATAGAAAACCTTTTTAAGAAATCAGGAGTCTTAGAGGCAAGCATCACCAACAGAATACAAGAGATCGGTGGGAGAATCTCATGTGCAGAAGACACCATGAAAAACATTGACACAACTGTCAAAGAAAATGCAAAATGCAAAAATCGTTTAACCCAAAACATCCAGGAAATCCAGGACCAAACCTAAGGATAATAGGTATAGATGAGAGTGAAGATTCCCAACTTAAAGGACCAGTAAATATCTTCAACAAAATTGAAGAAGAAAACCTTCCTAACCTAAAGAAAGAGATGCCCATGAACATACAAGAAGCCTACAGAACTCCAAAAAAAAAAAAAAAAATAGACCAGAAAAGAAATAGCACCCCTCAAATAATAATCAAAACATCGAATGCACAAAACAAAAAAAATTACTAAAAGCAGTAAGGGGGAGAGGACAAGTAATATATAAAGGCATACCTATAAGAATTACACCAGTCTTCTCACCAGAGACTATAAAAGCCAGAAGATCCTGGACTGATATCATACAGACACTAAGAGAACACAAATGCCAGGCCAGAATACTATACCCAGGAAAACTATCAATCACTATAGATGGAGAAACCAAGATACTCTATGAATAGCCAAATTTACACAATATCTTCCCACAAATCCAGCCCTACAATGGATAATATATGGAAAACTCCAAAACAAGAGAAACTACAACACAGAAAAAGCAAGGAAGTAATCGTCCAACAAACTCATAAGAAGATGCATAAACATAATTACACCTCTAATAAAAAAATAACAGGAAGAAACAATCACTTTTCATTAATATCTCTTAACATCAATGGACTCAATTCCCCAATTAAAAAAAAAAAAGCAGACTAACAGACTGGATACATAAACAGGAACCAGAAGTTTGCTGCATTCAGGAAACACACTTCAGTGACAAAGACAGACACTACAACCTCAGAGTAAATGGCTGGAAAACAATTTTCCAAGCAAATGGTTCCAAGACAAGCTGGCATAGTCATTCTAATTTTGAATAAAATCAACTTTCAACCAAAAAGTTATCAAAAAAGATAAGGAATGACACTTCATACTCGTTGTCAAAGGAAAAATCTACCAAGATGAACTCTTGATTCAGAATATCTATACTACAAATGAAAGGGTATCCACATTCATAAAAGAAACTTTACTAAAACTCAGAGCACACATTGTACCTCACACAATAACAGTGAGGGATTTCAACATCCCACTCTCAGCAATGGACAGATCATGGAAACAGAAACTAAACAGAAACACAGTGGAATTAACGGAAGTTTTGAACCAAATAGATTTAACAGATATCTATAGAATATTTCATCCTAAAACAAAAGAATATACCTTTTTCTCAACACCTCATGGTACCTTCTCCAAAATAGACCATATAATTGGTCAAAAAGCAGGCCTCAACAAATACAAAAATATTGAAATAATCCCTTACATCCTTTCAGATAACCATGGACTAAGGCTGGTCTTCAATACTAGCAAAAACAATGGAAAGCCCACATATATGTGGAAATTGAACAACTCTCTACTCAATGATGACTTGGTCAAGGAAGAAATAAAGAAAGAAATTAAAGACTTTTTAGAATTTAATGAAAATTAAGGCTCATAATACCAAAACTTATGGGACACAATGAAAGCAGCTCTAAGGGGAAACTCATAGCTCTAAGTGTCTATAAAAAGAAACTGGAGAGAGAATACACTAGCAACTTGACAGCATACCTGAAAGCTTTAGAACAAAAAGAAGCAAAAACACTCAAGAGGAGTATACAGCAGGAAACAATCAAAGACACGGCTGAAATCAACAAAGTAGAAACAGAAAAAACTATACAAGGATCAAGAAAACCAGGAGCTGGTTCTTTGAGAAAATCAACAAGATAGATAAACACTTAGCCAGACTAACCAGATGACACAGAGAAAGTATCCAAATTAATAAAATTAGAACTGAAAAGGGAAACATAACAACAGAAACTGAGGAAATTCAAAAAATCATCAGATCCTTCTACAAAAGCTTATACTCAATAAAACTGGAAAATCTGGATGAAATGAACAATTTTCTTGCCAAATACCAGGTTACAAAGTTAAATCAAGATCAGATAAACCATCTAAACAGTCCAATACCACTAAAGAAATAGCAGCAGTCATTGAAAGTCTCCCCACCAAAAAAAGCCTAGGACCAGATGGCTTTAGTACAGAATTCTATCAGACCTTCAAGGAAGACCTAATACCAGTTCTCTGAAAACTATTCTACAAAATACATACAGAAGAAACACTACTCAATTTTTTTCTATGAAGCCACAATCACTCTCATACCTAAACCTAACAAAGACCCAACAGAGAAAGAAACTTCATACCAATCTCCCTTATGAATATCAATGCAAAAAAATACTCAATAAAATTCTTGCAAACCGAATCCAAAACACACCAACACAATCATCCATCATGATCAAGTAGGCTTTATCCCAGGAATGCAGGGATGGTTCAATATTCGGAAATCCATCAATGTAATCCACTATATAAACAAAGTCAAAGGAAAAAACACATGTTGATCTATCAAGATGCTGAGAAAGCATTTCACAAAATTCAACATCCCTTCATGGTAAAAGTCTTGGAAAGATCAGGAATTCAAGGCTCATACCTAAACATAGTAAAATCAACACACAGCAAACAAGTAGCCTACATCAGACTAAATGGAGAGAAACTTGAAGTAATCCCACTAAAATCAGGGACTAGACAAGGCTGTCCACTCTCTCCTTACCTACTCAATACAGTAATGGAGGTCCAAGCTAGAACAATTACACAACAAAAAAGAAGTCAAAGGGATAAAAAATAGGAAAGGAAGAAGTCAAAATATCACTATTTGCAGATGATATGATAGTATACTTAAGTGACCCCAAAACTTCCACCAGAGAACTCCTGAAACCTGATTAAAAAAAAAACTTCAGCAAAATGAATAGTTATAAAATCAACTCAAACAAATCAGTAGCCTTCCTCTATGTGAAAGAGAAACAAGCTGAAAAAGAAATTAGGGAAATGACACCCTTCACAATAGTTACAAATAATATAAAATACCTTGGTGTGAATCAAACCAAGCAAGTGAAAGATCTGTATGACAAGAACTTCAAGTCTCTGAAGAAAGAAGTCGAAGAAGAAATCAGAAGATGGAAAGATCTCCCATGCTCATGGATTGGCTGGATTAATATAGTAAAAATGGCCATATTGCCGAAAACAATCTACAGATTCAATGCAATCCCCATTAAAATTCCAACTCAATTCT